GGCTGCAAAGCAACGCCAGGGCCTGCAGCAGAACAAGCTTAAAGTTTAACAGCTCACAGGAACCGCTGACGCGTTCCGTGAACACGCGAGGCTCGGCTGTGGTCACACGCCGTTCAAACATGTTTGGGTTCGGCGAGGCTCATTACACAGAGGATAAAATTTCTAGGGAGAATTACCGCATCCCCTGCCTCTGCGCCCGAGCCTGGGCGCCCCTCACCTTACAGGCAGCTGGGATTTCACACGCCAGGCCCCGGCTCTCGCTCGTTAGGAAGCCTGCGACAAACCTCAGTGCGAAGCGCGAGCGAGGCGTCGAACCGCCAGAGGTGGGTGACAGGAGAGCTTCCACGTAAACAGGCTCCACGTCCCGGCTAATTAGGAACCAGTTCTCGGGAATTAATTGTTCAGGGGAGTCCCGAAGGCAGAGGCCGTTAAGGGTGACTAATTAGAGAAAGTGTGAGAAAGCGTCCTCGTTGGGAAGGAGGCAGCCAGTAACGAAGGCGCCAATTAGCGCGTGGTGCAGAGATGTCAGCTGGGCGAGCCGAGGCAGAGGAAGCCCCATCCCGGTCCCGGACTGCACTCCGTAATCGGGTGAAGTCACCTCACCACAAGGACTGTCACCGGTACCACCGGCAGCTCAGGTGGGTTACCCCCTCCGGTGAGCGGGGGGAGGCTCACCCCGTCAGCGAGCACCCAGGCATGGCTCTGCCCCTGACCCCCAGTGCTGGCCCCTGGGGGCAGAGCAGCAGGGCCCCGCACCGCAGCCAGCGCCCAGGGATGGCCGCGGTGACACGGGCGTGACGTGTCCTGCGCCCTCCTCTGTGGGGCTGCTGCGGTACCTCACCGCTCTAATGGTGGGAGCATGAATTTTAGGGTGGGTTTATTCACAGCCAGTTGTGCTCATGTGCTCTCGTACCACACCAAGCCTTCAGCTTCAACAGCTCTTCCATGCTCCGGCGCTCAGCCCGGCAGATCATGGGGTGCTCTGGGCCAGCACAGGCTGTGCCCCCACAGCCACACTGCATGCAGGGAGACCAGCCTCGTCACCGCTTTCGTTGCCCCTCTCTGCTTCAGAATTTGCGTTCCCAGGACTGAGGTCTGGTCAGCTGAGAAGCGTGGGGCCCGAGGTGCGGAGAAGGCAGAGAGCAGCTGAATGCCGATGGAAGGTGGGGCAGCCGGGTAACTGATGGGGTGGCTGCTCCCAGCTGCCCGGGCAGCAAAGGGAACAGCCCTGAAACACCACAGTGTACGAGGGCAGCATTTTAAACCACACCAAAGTTTTAAACCACACTAAAGATCCCC